TTACCACTTCATGGACTATGTAGCACACAAATGCTGTCCGCAGGGTTTTGTTTTTGCTTTTTTTTTTTTTTTGCAACATACAGGAGTGGTTTGCCATTTCCTTCTCCAGTGGATTAAGGCAAACAGAGGTTAAGTGACTTGACCAGGGTCACACAGTTAGTAAATGTGTAAGGCTGTATTTGAGCTCAGGTCTTTCTGATTCCAGGTCCAGCGCTCTATCCACTGAGTCATCTATTACTACAAATATAAGACAGGTTTAAGAAGGGACAAATAAGTGGACTTTCGTAATGGATTTAGAAGCAGTTGGATAGTGCAGTAGATAAGAGTGCTGGGCATGAAATCAGAAATATTTGAGTTCAATCCTGTCTCAGACTCTTAACTAGCTTATGTGACCCTGGTCAAGTCACTTAAGTGCTGTCTGCCTCAGTTTCCTCATCTTTAATATAGATATAAAAATGGCACCTTCCTCATAGGGTTGTTGTGAGAGTCAAATGAGACAATATTTGTGACGCACTTTGAAAGCTCTCTATAAATACCAGTGACCATACACTTCCAAATTAGAGAATGCTTCTTGTGAATCTGTATATTGTAACTCAGAGATTACACTATATCCACGCCACTCCAAAGAGGCAAGGAGCCAGCAAAATTTCCAAATGGACAATGGGCCAGAACCACATTAAAATGTAATTGGGAAATGATTAACGAAAGAAATAAAAATACAGTCCAAAATAATGTTAATTTGTGGTTTTCTAAGTCAAAATGGTGTTGCAGGCATCTGTTTCTATTTGAGTTTGACACCACTGTAATGTAACTATTGCTTCATGAGCCTACAAGGAATATTATCATGGGCAAGTCTCAGATTGCTTGAAGAGATAAACCTTGACCCCAGAGATAAGAGGAGGAAGTAATGGCCCTCTTCCCAGGAAGGTGATGGGACACATTGATGTGAAATGTTACATAAGCTACTAGACACAGATAGGCTGTTGGTTGAGTTCTACTTAAATGAATGGCATGGGGGAAGGGGAGACATATAGGAAAGTTATTGTGATATAAAGAGGCATAAATAAAAGAGTAGCAGTTGGATAATACAGGTTATCCCACTTGGTGCATATGTATGAATATATATATATATATATATACATATATATATATGTATGTATGTGTCTGTATATACATTCATATATATATAATATATAATATATGTGTATGTAACATGTGTGTATTTACACGCACACACATCGCCTTCTGATGCTTGAGAATTTCACTTTTGATTCCAACAGAGCAATGAGAATGAGAAAATTAACATGAAAAATAGAGCTGGAGGTTAACTGAATTAATGCATCCATTTGAAAGCATCAGCGAATTACTGGGAGATGAAAATTATTTAACAGAGAACCTCAGCTCATAACAGATAATCATCAAAATTCTTTCAAAGGCCTAAAGTCAACATCTAAATGAATTATACATTATGCTACATATGACAGGCTCTTTTGATGTTAGTTTCAGATGCACTTTATAGACTCTTCTATTCAATCTTACTCTTAGTTCATTCAAAAAACATTTTATCATGACATCTGAACCTCACATATTAATAATACAGTCAGATCCCAATTACTGCGAATAAATAGCAATTATTCCTGTTTGGGCCAGAAACCCTGAGGGCTTTCCCCTCCCAGATTGATTTTTTTTTTTACTAAGTAAAAGAGGCCATTCTTTGTCTCATTTCTTACCTATCCTTAATCACTGAATGGGCTTTGTCTCAGTCAAACTGAGACCCAGGAAAGACCTTACCTTAAAAAGGCCAAGGTCTCCCACTACATGCAGGGCCATCTCTAGTCATCTTGACCTGTATCTGGCCACTGGACCCAGATGAGTCTGGAGGAGACAGTGAGGCTAGTGACTTTGCACAGCCCTCCCTCACTGAAATCCAATTCACCTGCAAGTCATGGTGTCACCTCCTTGATGCCATAGTCCTCTTCGAGAACAAAGGACAAATAACAACAACTGCAAATAATTAATCCCCTGAAATGGTTGCATGGATTCAATTTGCACTATTTGAAGTTTATATTTATATAAAATATGGCAACTGGTTCCAGCCCAGTAGAAATACGCATGCAAATTTGAATAATTCTACCACTTCAGGGGATTAATTATTTATTCTAAAGGGGCCCAGCTATAATAATGAGCATTATTATTATTAATATAGAAATATATAAACATAGATATAAGTATACATATAAATATATACACATCTACAGATATGTATATATATTTATATACATATATATGTATATACAAACACATACAGTGTCTGTGTGTTATGTTTTATAAATTGTTTTCCTTGTAGCAAATTTGAGGAAGCATGGTACAGTGGAAAGACCACCGGCTATAGAATCAGAGGAACTGGGTTCAAATACCATCACTAATTCTTATTACCTGCATGATCTCGGGCAAGTCACCTGAGCCTCACCACCCTCATCAGAAAAATGAGAGGGACTAGATGACCTCTGAGGTCCCTTAAGACTCTAAAATTATGATTCTATGAAAACAGTATTGTCACCTCTATTTTACAGAAGAGGAAACTAAGGTGAAAACACAGTAATATAAAAAAGATTGAATTTCTGCTAAGACTGGAGGCCTGGAAATATAGTAAGAACGCTGGATTTGGAGTCAAGAAGACCGAATTCAAATCCTGCCTCAAAAACATACTAGTCTGAGTAACCTATATAAATTGGTACAGAATGAAGTAAGAATAACCAAGAAAATAATAGGCACAGCAATTAAAATAATGGAAATTAAAGGAATATGGAAAACCAAGTTGATCATTATATAATTATAGCTAATCTTTGTTCTGGAAAAGAAATGAGAAAATGAATCTCTTTCTTTTCATCAGAGAGGTTGGAGACAATGAGTCAAAATGTTTTAGGCGCTATCAGATGGAATCACTGTGTTGACTAGTTTTCCTTACCTGTTGTTTTTTTCCTTCAAAAAAATAATCATGATATAAAAACACAAGATATCAGCAAAAACTGCCAACCATCATATGATGATAGGATCACTTCTCCCTTCCTCTCAAATTTTATGAGATTATTCTTCAATTTGCTTTTATTCCCCAGTCCAACTTTTACACATCAAAAGAAATGGGAGGACAAACAGTGAGGCTAACTTTTCTAACTATATAGAAGCTTGGTTTTTATTTACATTTTTCTTTGGAGATGATGTTAGCCATAATTGTTCATGCCTGTGTCAGATTTGCAAATGATGTCTCACCCTTCTCTGCACAGTCTCTGGGCTTTTTGTTGTTATGTTGTTGTTCAGTTGTTTTCAGTTGTGTCATACTCTTTGTGACACTATTTGGGGTTTTCTTGGCAAAGATACTGGAGCGGTTTGCCATTTCCTTCTCCAACTCATTTTACAGATGAGGAAACTGAGGCAGAGTTAAGTAACTTGCCCACGGTCAAACAGATAGTGAGTGTCAGAGACCACATCTGAACTTAGGAGTCTTCTAGGGCAGCTAGATGGAGCTGTGAAAAGAGCACTGGGCTTGGAATTAGGAAGACTTAGCTTCATGAGTTCAAACTCAGTCTCAGATACTTACTAACTACATGGCAAAATCTAGGCAAATCACTGAACGCTCTTTGTCTCGATTTCCTCAGAGAAATTGAGCTAGGATGTGAACCCAGGTCTCTCAACTCTGTATTCAGCTCTCTTTCCCACTGGGCTGCCCAGATTGATCCTAGCTTAGGATAATAAGAATTTTTTAATAAGAATTTTTGGAGCATGGGGCTTGGGAAATCTTGTCTTCCACCTTGGTATCACCTCGAACAAGGATAAAATAGGGCATTTCTAGGGTTATCACACAGCTCAATTTCTAGCCAAATTGTTGAATTGTACCAAATGAAGTAGCTCCTAAAGTCAGGGAAGCAAAGCGCCATTTATTCTGATTCTTACTTAGAAAATTTTGCAGAGAGGTCATCACATGTCCAACTTACTGGTGAATATGGGTGGGAATTGTCACTGTCTCAATGATTTCTATGAAAATATCTAGAAAAATGTTGTAACTATAAAATGCAATGAGATTGGTGAAGATTTTTTCATAACTTTACATGAGACATCTAAAAGGAATTTTTGCTCCAATGGGAATCACCATAAATCATGCCTAGGTGAAACAGAACAAGGCAATTCTTGGGTGGACAGGGGATGCATTAACACCTCTTACTTGAAATGGAAGCAGTAACTCCCAAGAAGAGGTGCCCCTAGTTTACAACCTGGTAGCTTTCTATTTTAAATGTGTATTGTTGCTGATTGGATACTAAGCTTTGCTGTCTTTGTGTGGCTGAAGGACATTTGCAAGTGCTTCCAGCAGCCCTTAAATTTAGAGACCTCTCAATTAGATACCCTGGGCAAATCCTCAGTTCTTTCCACCCTAGTTCCAGTTCTATTTGCATTATTAAAAATAATAGTTTTCTATATAATATATATTTAAACCAATTTTAAAATGTTCACAAGTTTTCCTATTGTAGAAAATGTAAGGTTTAAAATTAAACATAAGTTTTAAAGAATCCATAATTTCTTTTCTAGGATATCAGCACTTTATAAGGTTCACAAACCTTTGAGTGCTATGTAATATTAGTTACTACTATCATTATTATTATTATTATTAATTATTATTATTATTATTCTAATTCTGCACAGGGCACCTAGGGAACTCGGTGAATAGAGTGTCAGGCTTGGAGTCAGGAAGACTCATCTTCCTGAGTTCAAATCGGGCCTCAAATACTTATGGACTGTGTGACCCTAGGCAAGTGACTAAACCATGTTTGCCTCAGTTTCCTCATCTGTAAAATGAGCTGGAGAAGAACTTGGCAAACCATTCCAGTATCTTTACCAAGAAAACCCTAAAAGAGGTCACAAAGAGTTGGAAACAACTGAACAACAACCAAAATTCTGCACACATTTTAATTTCACAAACAATTAATCTTTTTTCAGAGCTACAAAGTATGTCTCCCAGTACTCAACTTCCTGAAGATTCACTGAAAAGGAATGATGTAAAAGTAATGACGCCAACAGCCACTCTTTCCAATATTCCATTACCAGGAACAGTTCCTCAGGAAAAGCAAACCCATCTCTCTTGTGTGGCTAAAATTGATGAAGAATATGGAAAGGGTAAGCTATCACTCTTGCTTAGTGGGATTAAAGAACATAATGTTAAATATATACAGAGTTGCATGTAATGCTTATCATAATCATTTAGGCTATTGATTTTGTTAGTTTTTTTAACTAAATAATCACTTTCTTTTCTTAAACTAAGTCACACAAATTCTTTTTTCCGCCCAAGAATGATGTTAAGTTTGGTTTATTGTTCTCAAATAGTATAATCAATAGCTGAGAATGATTCTATTCTTTCTTATTCTTGTTCATTCTTTGTTCTCTGAAGAGGAGCAATGACCTCATAGGGTGATGTCTTGACTTGCATATGAATTGGATTTAAGTGAGGCACAGTTGTGCAAAATTGTCAGCCTCATTCTCTTCTGCAGTCATCTGAGTCTAGTGGCAAAACCAAAGTCTGGATAACTGACCACAGTCTTGACTGGATCAATAAACCAATCAATCACCAATGAAATAATTATTTGTAAATTAGTTATCAGGTCTAGAAATATCTATTAAAATACATTCTATGCCATGAAAGTCAGTGTATGTAGTGGATAGAAATCAGTAAGGCAGAGCCAGGTTCAAATTCTGCCACTGACACTTAGTTCTGTATGATTATGGATGAGTTTCTTAATGTTTCTCAACCTCAGTCAATTGCTTAAAACATCTAAGTTATAGATGGGTTGTGGTGACAACCCATCTGGTTGTCTCATCACAGACTTGCATTATCACATGCCCCACATGCCTAAATGTCAGTGTACCTCCTAGTTGCAAGACAGGCACAAGCACCATTACCAACAGTAATTATCCTGCACTAAAAGACCCAGAAAACATTAGACACTGTCCATTTGTTTTGGGGCTATTTTTTAGTGAAAGTTCCATTGCTTTGTGGATGCAGGGCATGTTTAAGAGTAACAGCTTTCAGAAGAAAGCGCACCAGAATTGGTGCCAAAATATCTGGGATCAGACCTGGCTCTATTCCTTGCAACATATGTGAACTTGGGTAGCCTCTACCCCTGTAAAATCTTTAGTTTCCTCTTGCAAAATTAGGATTTTTTTATTTGATTTCCAGATCCTAATGAGACTTGTTCCAAACAGAGGAGTCAAAAACTACCAAGATAAGATCATTTATTAACTTGCCTTTAAACATATACCTGCCCCTTCCCTTTTAAAGATCAACTAAAGTATGCTGGTTTGTATTTACGCAATGGTAAACAATTTTTCTTTGGCAAACATATGAAAGAATAAGTAAGAGTTTCTTTACAGTAAGATAGGATGCCACTCCATTATTTCTAATGAATGCTTCATTTTAAAAATATCATATCAGGGGCAGTTAGGTGATAAAGTGAACAGAGCACTAGGCTTGGAGTCTGGAAGACTCATCTTCCTGAGTTCAAATCTGGCCTCCGATACTTACTACCCGTGTGACCCTGGGCAAGTGACTTAACTATGTTTGCCTCCGTTTCCTCATCCACAAAATGAGCCGGAAAAGGAAATGGCAAACCACTCCAGTGTCTTTGCCATGAAAATTCTAAAAGAAGTCATGAAGAGTCAGACATGACTGAGAAACCTCAATATGAAGCAAGTGTGCCAGTTTAAATGTTTTCCTATTATTTAGATAGCCCAAATGGTCATATATATATATATATATATATATATATATATATGTATATATATATGTATATATATATACATACACACACATATTTGTATATATGTATGTATATATACATACACATATATATACACATATGTATACATATATATACATATATACATATATATTCATTTTGTATCTAATTTAAAATTTAGCTATATTCTAAGTGATTTTTTTTTAAAAAATTGGGAGGGAATACAAGTTATGATTCTCTGGGCTATATCTAATCCAACAAATTAAATAGTTCCACTATTCTCACTGCTGTTGACAAGACCCAATTTCCTCCTATGTATTATTCATTCTTCAAACCTGCCACCACACAGTGCCAAGGCACTCCTATTGCTATTGTGGGAGAATTCAGAGGGATGCTCTGATTTGAGATAAGATATATGAAGTACTCATGGGGTGGATCCACCCAGTTCCTAGATCATAACAAAAATCAGAGTTTGGGCTCTGGAAGCAGAAGAACTGGGTTCAAATCCCACTTTTGACCTTGTGATCTTGGGGAAGTAGCTTTATCCCCCTGGCCTTTTTCCCCAACAACAATATAATTATTATTATAACAATAATTAAAACAATAATTGCTTCCCCAAAATAAAAATGGGAGACTAGATGATTTCTTGAGGTGCCTACCCGATCTAAATCTGTTTCTAGCAAAAAACACTGCTGTTTATATAGTTTCAAAGTTTGTAATGCACTTTATAGATATTATCTCATATTAGCCTCGTAACCCTGTGAGGAAGATAAGTGACCCTAGCATGATTATATCCACTTTGTAAATGAAAAAAAAAAAGTTGAAGCTAAGGAAAGTAAATAATTTGGATAATGATGAATGGTCATGTGTACTGGGAGGGTCTACTCATCAGAAGATATATGTATATCCTTAAGCCACACCTGATCTCTGAGGTCCTGTGGCAGGCCTCTTGATTCCTGAAAGGAAACCAACCAGTTCTGCTGCAATTGTGCTGAATTGCAATACAGCTATTGCTCAATATCATGCTTTTCTTGTTCCATCATGCCCAGTAGCCTGGAGGCAGTAAGCAGTGGTGAGAAATACAACTCTGTTGTAAGCACCTGTACTTCCTGATGACAAACTAGAAGCCTCCATTTAAAAAAAAAATCTACATAGGAAACATTTGTATAATGGACATCTTAAAAAAAATACACCACCAAAGACTCGAATTCAGAGTGCAATCAAGTGGCATATTTGGAAGAAATGGATCCACAACTATAAAGATGTCAGGATTCTCCCAATAAGAATAAATCCTCTACGTTATATAAAGCTAGGCCCCAATTAGTGAGAATAATGAATCCCACAAATAGGTTGCATTATTTGAATTTATACTATTCAAAGTTATAATTATATATTAAATATTGTGACTGGCTCTAGGCCAATAGAAATATGCAGTGTGAATCTGAACATTGTGAACCTTCATAAGCTTCTATTATTATCATACTAATCAGGATCTAGCTGCCATCAAATTCCACTCAAAACTATGGTTAGGGAAGTACTGTCAATACCTATAAAAGTCCCTGTGGCTTTTGTAAAGGTAACTTGGTAAGTTGGTATTAGTCATAGCCTTTTATAAATAAGCTATCTCATGACCAGGTGTCACTGCAATAATATCACCAAGTTCAAGTCTAATTCACTATTTTCCCAGGGTGTCTAGCTAACAGAATCCCAAGATGAGCCTGTAAAATATCTCTACAGTATATTGGAATTAAAACCCACTGTCAGGAATAAAATATCAGGGAAATCCCCTCTTCCTTGGCAGCTAGATGGTGCAGTAGATAGAGTTCTGAAATTGGAGTCCAGGAAAACCTAAGTTTGACTCGTGTCTCAGACTATGTGACCTTGAGCCAAGTGCTAAACTTCTCTCAGCCTCAATTTGATCATCTGTAAAATGGCAGTCCATCACAGGGTTGTTGTGAGTCTGAAATGAGTAAATATATGCAAAAGTTCTCTGCAAACACTAAAATGCTAAATAAGGGGTAGCTATTTTGTTGTTCTTTATGTTTGTGTTATTATCCAGTCATGTCATCCATGTCTAACTTTTTGTGACCCCATGGACCATACCGTCCATGGAGTTTTCTTGGCAAAGATACTGGAGTCATTCATCCTTCTCCAATAGATTAAGGCAGAGGTTAAGGGACTTGCCCAGGGTCACACAGCTACTATACGTCTGAGACTAGATTTGAACTCTAACTCTAAGCTTAGCACTGTCCATATGGAGCTGCCTCCTGGGCAAACGGATTTAAGTGATTTGCCCAAGGTCACACAGCTAATGTCTGAGACCAGATTTGAACCAAAGTGTTCCTAACTCTAGGTTTAGCATTCTATCTAGTGAGCCACCTAACTGTATTCTAGGCAAACAGGGTTAAAGTGACTTGCCTAAGGTCATATAGTCAATGTCTGAGACCAAATCTGAACTTGCATCGTCCTGACTCCAAGGCCAGTGCTCTGTCCACTGAGTCATCTAGCTGTCCCTCTTGGTTTGTAGGACATATCATATCCCACGGTTAAATATTGAGTCCATCTGGGTTCCAAACTTTGGCTTAGTGCATCAAGAAAAGTTTTGGGGTTTTTGTTTTAATTAAATGAGACAAGATAAGTAAAACATTTTGCAAGCTTTAAATCACTATATAAATGCTAGCTATTACTATCATTCGAAAAATCATGAAAAAAAATGTCCTTTGGGCATGGCAACCTGATTAGAGGTAGAATTAATTTTTATGACCCATTAAGATTTTTACTGAATCCTCTGCTCTTTCCATGTTGTATCACCAGGTATCTAGGGAGCCCTTGCTGTTGAAGAGCACCCATTGTATCAATGTGTAATTCCTCTTATACCAAGGCTTTTTTTTAAATTTTTTTGTGGGTCATGTACCTTTTCAGCAGTCTGATGAAGTTTGTGGACCCTTTCTGAGAATAACATTTTTAAATAAATAGAATAAAAGTCAAGGAATTGCAAAAGAAATAAATTATACTGAAATACAAGGGTTTTTAAGTTCACAGACCACCCCCTTTCTATGTATAGACCTCTTGGAAGTCCATAGACCCAATGTTAAGAACCTCTACTCTTGGGGCAGCTAGGTGGTGCGGTGGATAGAGCACCAGCCCTGAAGTCAGGAGGACCTGAGTTCAAATCTGGCCTCAGACCAAACACTTGACACTTACTAGCTGTGTGAGTCTGGGCAAGTCACTTAACCCCAATTGCCTACAAAAAAAAAAAAGAAAGAACCTCTTCTCTCTGCCAAAGTCAAGTAACAGAAATATCACCCAACCAGGAATGGCACTGCTTCCTTACTCTTTAAAATTCTCTGTTCTTAATCAGCATTCTCCCAGGAGACATCCCTG